TGGTAGCCGTTTCTCAGGCTCCCTCTCCGGAATCGAACCCTAATTCTCCGTCACCCGTCACCACCATGGTAGGCCACTATCCTACCATCGAAAGTTGATAGGGCAGAAATTTGAATGATGCGTCGCCGGCACTATGGCCATGCGATCCGTCAAGTTATCATGAATCATCGCAGCAACGGGCAAGAGCCCGCGTCGACCTTTTATCTAATAAATGCATCCCTTCCAGAAGTCGGGGTTTGTTGCACGTATTAGCTCTAGAATTACTACGGTTATCCGAGTAGTAGGTACCATCAAACAAACTATAACTGATTTAATGAGCCATTCGCAGTTTCACAGTCTAAATTAGTTCATACTTACACATGCATGGCTTAATCTTTGAGACAAGCATATGACTACTGGCAGGATCAACCAGGTAACATTCCTAAATGATGCCCCGAGCACGAGCGACGAAAGAACACTCAATGCAACAAAGCAATCATGCGTAGGACTAGCGTGCCACATTGGCACACGGGGAAAGAAGAAGATGAATTCCAATGCCCCGTGCTTATACCAAATCCAAGAGCCATGCACAACTACTCGTATGCCCAGATCGCAACCAAGGGTTGCACCGAGCACAAGTAGGCGTTTGGCGTCCATCCCACGCACACCCTCGCATACAAACGAGGACGAGCACAGGACGGAAATCGAGAGTTAACATGCAAAATGCCACCCGCAGCGGTATTCGACACCGGAAACCATGGAAAATCGGCCCCAGCAGCACCGAGGCAATCGACACTGAGAAGGCAAGGCGGCAAGACGTCATTGCTACGGCAATGATCCATCTTAACCACAAATGCCGGAGACAACTCACGCACCGTCTTGCATCGCAAACATCAAGTGCAACACAACTTACACCAACAGACCACACGGTTGGAATCGCTCCAAGCATATAGTCCACCACCGCAAGTTGAACGCCATGACACTCGCATCAATAAGTGCGAAAGGGAAAAGACCGAAATAAACCCACTAGTCGCATCGCCAACGAGAGGAGACCGAAACCACATAGAGTAAAGCAACTACTCGTGCCACGCCGTTGCAACCGACCGAAACCGACTAGTGCATACGGCGACCATGCTGAAACCCGGGCAGCGAAAGACCAACGCCGTGGACCGGAGAACCACGACCGAAAACCGAAACCCACATAGAGCAGTACAACTGCTCGTGCCACGCCATTGCAACCGACCAAAACCGACTAGTGCAAATGGCGACCTTACCGAAACCCAAGCAACGGAGAGACCAACGCCGTGGACCGGAGAGCCACGCAAAGTAACCGAAACCCACATCAAGTAGTGCAACTACTCATGCCGCGCCATTGCAACCGACCGAAACCGACTAGTGCAAAAGGCGACCATACCGAAACCCAAGCAGCGGAAGGGACCAACGCCGTGGACCGGAGAGCCACGCAAAGAAACCGAAACCCACATCGAGTAGTGCAACTACTCATGCCGCGCCATTGCAACCAACCGAAACCGACTAGTGCAAGAGGCGACCATACCGAAACCCAAGCAGCGGAAAGACCAACGCCGTGGACCGGAGAACCACAGCCGAAAACCGAAACCCACATCGAGCAGTACAACTACTCATGCCACGCCATTGCAACCGGCCGAAACCGACTAGTTCAAACGGCGACCTTACCGAAACCCAAGCGACGGAGAGACCAACGCCGTGGACCGGAGGGCCACGCAAGGAAACCGAAACCCACATTGAGTAGCGCTACTACTCATGCCACGCCATTGCAAACAACCGAAACCGGCTAGCGCAAACGGCGACCATGCCGAAACCCATGCAGCAGAAAGACCAACGCCGTGGACCGGAGAACCACGGCCGAAAACCGAAACCCACATTGAGTAGTGCCCTATGCCGCGGGGCAACTACTCGTGCCCACCCAACCTGGAAACCGCGGCATTCCAACCAACCGAACCGAAGGAGAGGATAACCAACCCACCGAAACCCACGCGGCGAAAATATCCAACTCCGTGGCATGGGAACCCACGCGGAACCCACGCTGAGAAGCGCCCCATGCCGCGGCGCAACTCTGCCCGTGCCCACCCGTCGAGGAGCACTCCCCCCCTATAGTAGATAAAAAAACATATACACTGAATCTCGGAGTAGCGACATTTTGGCCCGAAAAGGTATAAATTTTTATTTCAATTTCTTTTTCCTTTATTTTTTGCTGAAAAATGCCTAATTGTACACAAAACATTGAAAAATCAATATGTAAATGAGGATTAAACTTAAACTTAATTAAAAAAGTAATAAAATTAATTAATTAATATTTAATTAATTATAAATCTTAAATTTAATTAAAAAATCAATTAATTAATATTTAATTAATGATTAAACATAAACTTAATTAAAAAATTAATGAATTTAATATATTAATATTTACTTAATTACTAAACTTAATTTCAATGTAAAAAATTAATATATTTAATTATTAAACTTAACTCTAATTAAAAAA